TAAAGAAATATTAATAATAAAAGTAATTAAAAATATTAATAATCTAAATTAATAATTGTGATACACATAGTGATCATTTGAGTAACAATGTACTAAATCTAGATGTATTAAATATATAATGATTATCTATATATCTAGAATGAAAATAATCTTCTTGAAAATATAATATAAAGCTAATCTGTTATACAGATAGCGCAAAATAAAGATCTAAGCTAAAAGAATCTAAAGAGAGATAACCTAATTAAAATTGTACATATATTTTAAAATTATTAAACTTGATAATAAGAAATAAATTAATTTAGAAAAAATAACTTTTAACTTTTATTAAAAATATATTTTATAATTGATCTTAATAATAAAATTCTTGAATAGATATATAAGTTTTCTTATTTTATTTAAAATTAATTATAAGTAAAGTTATAACTATGAATACAAGAATAATAAAGAAAAAGTTATTACTAAATTTATAAATATTCTAATATAATTCTATATTTTTTTATTATTATTTACTTTCATATTAATATATTTTATTAATCTATTTTTAATTTTAATAAGCTATTAAAAAATAAATTTTAATAAATATTTAAAAAGATTGATTTTAAAGTATATAGATAATTAAGTTATCTAAATTAATTCAAACTTAAGTAAAAAAAGAAATAAAAATATAAAGATTTCAGTTTGATAAACTTATAAAAAAATATAGGATAAGTATTAGAAAATTAAAAATAAAAATAATGTAAAAGTAATTAAAATATTTATTATATATTTGAATAAATTATTAACTTTAGTTTTTAATAAAAAATATTAAATTTATAATATATAAATAAATAAAATTTTTCTTAATATTTTATAAATATAATTAGTTAAATAAGTTTTTTATATTTATATTTTTAAATAATTATATATATAATTATTATATATTTACTATAATAATTATCTTCATATTTCTTAATTATTATTAATATTTTGTATTTGTTAATTTTAATTATCTTATTTGCTATTATTATTTGATAATATATTCAACTAATAAATTATTTTTTATATAATATGAATGAATTATATAATATAATTCAGATTGAATTTTATGTTATGTGAAATTATCTGACTTTAATAGATCCTCTCTATTAGATATAAATCATATGATAGATTATACTTCCTAAAATTAAATTACCATATATTACTATATAGAATATCTAGATTTAAATTAATTTTAAAAAGTGAAAATACTTATGTATTCTAAAAAGTATTATATATAATAATAGATATTTAAAAAGAAAAATATATAAGAGAAGAATCATAATCACAAATTTAAATCATCAAAATATATTTAATAATTTACATTTTTTTAATATATTTAATAATTTATTCTTTTTTTAATACATCTAATAATTTATCTTTTTTTTAATATATTTAATAATTTTTTTTTATATATTTAATATATTTAATATTTTTTCAATAAAAATATATTCTAAAGCTAATAAAAAAGTTATTCAAGTTTAAATTCCTAAAAAAAGAGATATTAATAAAATATACAAGAAAAATTTATCATTTTAACCTATCTTAAAAAGTAATTTATATAAAATATTCATGTTATGATAATATTTAATATTAAGTCCAAGTAAATTTATAACTGATACCAAAAAAGATATAAATTTTTACAAGCTTTTCTATATGTAAAATAATTAAATATTAGTTAGTCAGAAAAATATTTTTTATTAGAAAATGAACTAAATAAGTAGGTTAGATAACTTAGGCAAGAACAAAAATTAATATTATAATATTTGATTCAACTATATACAAAAAACTTAACAAAAAAATCCAAATATATTAATATTAATTTAGATATTAATAAATTTATATTTTTTAATAAATAGATTGATGAATTTATGAATTATCATAATTTTAGTCTTTGATACTATACTATAATAACATAATATTTATTTGAGAATCTTATTAAAAAATAACAAGAATTTCTTAACTTCATATTTTATAAAAGAATATTATATAACTTTTTTCTTAACTTAATTAAAAATATGAATGAAACTTCTTTGTCTTTTAATTTGCTATCTAATTTTATTATTAATGAAATAGATATATATATAGTATTAATTTAAATATATGGATATAAAAAATCATTTTTTATTATTATGTTAATATATATAATAAATAAAACTAAGTTATTTCTAATAATAATTTTTAATGGATATGAAAAATCATTCTTTACTATTATATTAATATGTATAATAAATAAAACTATGTTATTTCTAATAATAATTTTTAATGGATATGAAAAATCATTCTTTACCATTATATAATAAATAAAATTAAGTTATTTCTAATAATAATTTTTAAATTATCCAAAGTATCACAACAAGAATTTTCTTTAGGTATAATTATAAGAGCAAATTTAATAGGCTAAATGAATAAAGAAGAAATAATTTTTTGAATTGAAAATATATGAAATCAGCATATCAAATTTTTAATTAATTTTTGATTTTGAATTCTTTTTTAGACTATATTATCAATTCAGTTACTTGTTATTTTAGAGAGAAAAAAATAATTATTATTATAATTTCAGATGGATTAACTTCTAAAATTCAATTTTTGGATATTTTTATCAATAAATTATTTAAAACAAAAGTAAATATTTATAATTAAATTATTTATATTATATAAAATTACATAAATTTATTTAAATTTATTTATAGATTCATCACTATTATAATGAATAGATATTTAATAATATTAAAAGTTATATAAAAACTAATCAAATTCAATATTCATCTTACAATTTAATAACTTAATAAATTCATAATGTATGATATTAAGTTAATGCTCTTCTTATTCAAAAATATTTAAAGTTTGTAATATTTTAAATTCTCAGGATGGAAAAGAAGACCAATTAATTTTTGATTATAAACAAGTTGGACTATGAAAATAAGAATCTCAATTTTCAACTTGAATAATGATAATAATAAAGGATTCAGTGAAAATGAAGAAAATTCAATTGATCCATTTTTAAATTTAGAACAAATCATAGAAAATAACCAAGAAAATGAGCATTACGAAACTAATCAGCTTAATTATATCAATGATTGGTAAAATAATTAGGTTTTTTAATTTAGTTTATCAATACTAATTCAATAAAATCAAACTTATATTAAGATATAATATAGATCCGGATCTTTATTAATTTTTTCTGGATAGTATCTTTAATATGTATCCGGATATAACATATGGAGGATATTCTATTTGAAGAATATTCTATATAGTAATATACGGTATGTCAGAAAAATGATAATTTACATTCACTTGCCACATTAAATCTTTAAAGTTGAATCAACAACTTTTTAGTTCCAGCTTTTCCATGCTATATAAGAATATGTTTTCACATTCTGAAAAACATCTTGATAAAGATGAAATAATAAAGATAAGTAATAAAATAATTGGATGTGTTTCTTTTTACATAAGGAATGAATTAAACAACTTTCCCCAAATTTTATGTATTTTATCATGAGAAAAAAATTGATAGTCATAAAACTACTATCTGTTTAATAACTATATTAGATATAATACAGAAAAGAGAGAAAAGGGCATTTTCCTCTTATTTTAGATCTTTAATCAAAGATCCTTAACCACCAAAACATACTATCTTTATTATTTATCTTCCATACCATCACCACCATCACCAGAATTCATATACCACGAAGATGACTGAGTAGTCGTAGCGTTAGTATTAGTAGAGTTAGTGGTTCGTGTGGGTGTACGTAATATTCCATTATTATGAGAGGTAAAAACACGCGAAGAGGATGGACGAGGTGAAATAACACGAGATTTTTGTTGTGATTCTTGTTGTAGTTGCCATTGATTCATGTTGCTATTGTTATTATAATAATTATTGTTCTGATTCGGAAAAATGTTTGAAGTTGAGTAAAGTTGCCTTAAACTTGAAGAGGATAGAGATTGTCGAGGTGAGTGGATATTATTATTACTACCACTAATAATATTACTATTACTATTGCTGCTTTTATCTTCTACGATCAATTGATCAGAATACAAAGTATTTGAATTCCTGAATCCATGCCAAGATGTTTTTTTTGACGGGCTACTAAAATCTCGTGAGATATCCGTCCGATTAGGATGTGAAATACCAACACCATTAGCCGTCGCTGAACTTTTACTCAAAAATCCAGGACTACCTAATCCAGAAAGTATAACATTATTATTGTTATTAGACGAAGATGAAGATGAAGCAGCAACCCCCGCCGTTGATATGTTTAACGTTCGTCTTCGATAATCATCTCGTGCATTATTTCCTAATGATGACGATGACGTAAAAGCGATTGTACTCGAAGTATTGCTGTTGGTGGTGGCAAACGCAGGACTCTGTAAATGATGAAATTTCTTGTCAATCACCGTGTCGAAAAATGCGTCAATCTTTTCGGCGGCTATTGAACCTCGTGCAAAATGCGTGGGTGCTAATGTACACTATATAAAGAGTTATTAATATGAACGGAGATAATCTAACAAATAATGACCATATGGGTTAATTGTTTTGTTCTCACCTACCACGTTAACACAATCACCTCCATATTCATCAACAATGCTGTATCGTCTTTGTCGACCGGTTAATTCTTGCTTTACGAGGTCTGCTTTCGTGCCAACTACCAATATCGGCACATGTAGATTTCTATCTCCTATCTGTAACTCGAAATCATATTCTTCTATTTTAGAATACATCAAACAATAATAAAAATCACCATCATAAACATTAATTAATCATTGCGAACTAAAAAAAAAGAGTAATAATGACATTATCAGCCTTTCTTGCCCCATTAAGCGATCTCGACATACTTAAATTAGAATTGACCAAGAACCCACTTCCACTTCCACTACTACCACTCATGCTCATCATGCTTCCATTCATAACCCGTTCTCCCTCCTCTTTAAACGCATCAGAATTCAACACTTCGGCAATCCACCGCCATAAATTATAATAGGATTTCCTGTTGCTCACATCGTGCACGAGTATGATTCCATCAACGTGATGATAAAACATATTTCGCGATGACGGGTGTTTAGTTGATCCACCAACATCAACAAATTCTACGAAATATGGTTTCATTGTCCGTGTATGAATGTGTTTCTGTAATGCCAGAATTCCACGATTTATTATTTCATTGATAGAATTTAAACGTACAAATAAGAAACCGTTATTGCTTTGAACTGATTGACATACCGTTACTTCGACCGAACTACCAATGGTCCACGTAGGGTTTCTTAATACTTCATTATGACATAGAATATGGACTAGACACGTTTTTCCCTGCGTAAAATAGAAATAATAGCAGCAACGAAAACGCATGATAAATAAGAGGTTCTTCAGAGGTTCAAATAAAGCATTTGTCATAGAATATCAGGTATTTTTTTGTGCTTTTACCAAACTCTTCTTACCACCCCGGAATCGCCCACCACAACAATTCGAAGCTTGTCATGCGAATCCATTCGTGTATGTGTATGCTTGGGTATAAATCAAAGGGTACCGCTATAACCAAAGGGCATATATGGAATGATCAACTAATCTTGTTTACCAAAATTACAAGTGAAGCTACACTAAGCCCGCGCGAGATACTAAAACACGATAAATTTCACCAAGAGGATTTACCATAAATTTTGATAGCCCAACATGACGTAATAACACGCGATAGTTTGGGTAAAATGTTTGATATAAGAATCGCGTCAAGACAATGAACACAAAGCTACCACTTCAACCTTTTGAATGACGCAAGATGAATGATACTCACAAATCTAATATAAAATGTTTAGCTTGCGGAAAAAAAGTAAACCTGCAAATAGTCAAGAAAGAAAACAACAATAAAGGAAGACCATTTTATTCTTGTCGTCAATGTAACGAATTTTTCCTTTGGGCAGACAACCCTACTGATATGGCGAGATATCATAACAAGATTACAGCTAGACCTGTAATAACAACCGCAAGACAAATTTACAACTCGAATCCACCAGGCCAAGCTTCAGCTAGTCAAAACATCGAGAACACTTCGCATAATACAAATGATAGATCAAAACTCTCCGTACATTTAGCAAATTTTGCGTATAGTGATCCATCACAAACATCGCTGTCGAAACCACCAGCAGCAGCAGCAGCAGCAGCAGCACCACCACCACCACCACCACCAACAACAACAATATCACCACCAATAATACCACCACCAATACAGGTTAAGCCAATAGAGATCAAATTTGTTTTTTACGATAAAGATTATCTCATCGTGCGCGGGTATCAGGAAAGATTATTAGAGTTCTGGCGTCGATTGGAATATGCCACCTTCATCTACGAAGCTAAAGGATGGCGAATACCATCTTGTCAATACGAAAACTGCACGAAAGAACTCAAAAAATTAAACTTTCCGGTCGAATTTAACACTTTTCCTCACCACATTCTCAAACTTTTTGCTGCTGATTCGAATAAATCCAACGTATCCAATACACAAGCAGAAGCTGATATCACGTCAAAAATTTCACCACAACTTTGGCAAATATTAATGCCTTTTCAAAAGGAAGGTGTGATTGAGGTGATAACAAAGGGAGGCAGAGTTCTGATCGGTGATGAAATGGGCCTAGGAAAAACAATTCAGGCATTAACCATTTGTTCATATTACCGCGAATGGCCTGTTCTGGTAATATGCCCATCTAGTCTAAGATTGACTTGGTCGAATGAAATACAACGGTGGCTCCAAATTCCGGAAGAGGAAATTCAAGTCATCTTTAATGGATCCAATAAATTGCAAAGTCCTATGGCTAAATTTGTGATTGTTAGTTATGACCTTTGTAGAACTATGGGTCACACCTTTAATAAAAAATTCAACGTAGTTATTGCTGATGAGGCACATTATTTGAAAAATCGATCGGTATTTGTTGATTTCTTTTTTTTTGAATAAAAATTGCTTTCGGATTATCTTACATCTCTTGTGCGTTTTTTCTTTAAAGGCTAAAAGGTCACAAGTTTGTTTAAGGATGATTCAAGAAACCCATAGAGCAATTCTCTTAACCGTAAATACTTTCATATTCGATTGCTCGTTATCTTTCTTTAGACACTATTTGATGATAATCTACTTTTGAATCTGTATTGTTTTCTTTATGCAGGGAACTCCGGTAAGAATATTCTTAATTTCTGAAAAGAATTCATATTCCGAATCATAAGATTTGTTTCTTATAAATAGGCTCTGTCAAGACCTGAAGAGCTCTATGGTCTTATTGAAGCATTAAACAATAAACTATTTCCCAACTTTACTTACTTTGCCAGTCGTTATTGTAATCGTAAGTTGATGCATCTGGGTCACAGACAATTTTGGGATACTAAAGGTAATATAGATATGATATACATTACATTTTATAGAATACGACAACATTCTGAAATACAATATGCATCTCTTTTTGAATACCAAAAAAAATTCGATTAAACAGGAAGTCAAAATCTGGAGGAGCTTCATTGGTTAATGGCAAAAACCATTCTAATACGACGATTGAAAAAAGATGTTAATTTGCAATTACCCGCGAAAACTCGGGCGATTATAAAAATAAGTGAGTTTTTTATTTGGATATTGTTGGAAACGTGGAGAATTTATCAAATTTTAACGCTGAAATTTTTGCTCTTGAAGAAATTGACCGAGCTTCAATGAAGCCAATTGAAGAACTAAAAGCCAAGAAAGCCAAACTTGATGAAAGTGGAGACCAGGAAAGTCTTTATAACATAAAGAGAGAGAAACAAATTTTATTGAACGCGATGGTATCTATATTATTATTATTAATGTGTATAATCTTTGGTTTGACCAATCAATCGATCACTTAATTTTATATCTATTTTCGTAGTGGGAACAAACAGCACAGATAAAATTGCCTGGAATAATTGAATACGTAAGCGACTTGTACGAGTCAACCGAAAAGAAATTCCTTGTGTTCGCACATCACCACGTTGTCCTCGATGGGTTTTCAAAAGATTTAGATTGTAAATCAATAGTATGTAGTCGAACATTTCATAAGGGGTTAAGTCACTACTTCTAAAAATTGCTACAATAATAATAACAGAATTATATACGAATTGATGGATCCGTGCCATCTGCCAAACGACAAGTTTTGGTCGACCAATTCCAAAACGATAGTAGTATTCGAATCGCGCTTCTTAGTATCACTGCCGCCAATACTGGTTTAACTTTGACGGCTGCGGATCTGGGTAATTACACGTTTTGGTTTTTTTTTAAGAACAGCCTATAGATTAAATTTGTTAAATTCTATTCGTATGTGATTTGTAGTGGTTTTTGCAGAACTTTATTGGAATCCTGCTACACTCTTACAAGCAGAAGATCGAGCGCACGTAAGTAATAAACCGATATTTCCTTTAAAAAAATTCATTCGTCATTATGTAATAAATTAATAATCTTGCTTATTTATATAGCGAATAGGCCGAAACGAAAGAGTTGATATCAAGTATATTTTGGCGGATGGCACTGCCGGTAAATCATTTATATCCCGGCCAAAGATCTTCCATTTCATTCTCATGATATTTTGCTCCAAACAAAAAAAAATGATTTTAATTTTTTAGATGACATTGTCTGGCCTCTTATAAAGAAAAAACTCCAAATCGTCGGTCTGATGTTGGACAACTCCAGCAACAAAATCAACATTAATGAGGGCACGACATTCGGGCACGAAAGTCAATCCGATTTATTGGAATGGTTTAATGAGACGGTTGGTAGTGATGACAATGCTGGTATTGCTTTTGCTGCAGAAGAGAATCTTGAAGAACCCTCACGAGGGATCAAACGTACTCGCGAAACCCTGGATTTCTCTTATAGAAAATATAAAAAAACGAAAAATGGTAACGGTTATGGCAATGATAATAACCAATAGAATTATCTCCATCCCCATGACCTAGAGAAAATCTGCGATATGACATAAAAGTTAATCAATATGATGTTACTCGAACATACTCGATCTGCATATAATACATGTAGTACATCGTAGATAGAGGGATGACTTGTGTTTTTCAGTAGTAAATAAAGATTGTCGCGCAAATAAACCCAATTATAATATTTTTCTAAAGAAAAACCCTGCACTTTTATTTCGTAAAAAAAAGTTTAAAACGTAAATAAACGACTTTACTTAAAGCAACAAGAAATATAATATGTAAGTATGTGAGTCTTTCTTTGTTAGTTGAGTTTGTGGTAGTGTAGTTGAAGGGTGGAGTGAGTGAAAGTGCATGTGAGAGGAATGTAGTGTAGTTAGTGTGATGGTTTTAAAAAAAACATTGTTTAAAATAAGAAGACCTTTTATCACAGTTCTTATTTTTGAAAAAAGTGTGAGTGTTTATTTTACTTTTATTCTTCATTGCTTTTACTTGACATCTTTTTGGCATCGAGTTATTTAATTTAAAAATTTGATCTTATCAATAAACAATTATATTCATCCCTTATTAGATTACATTTTACGCGTTTTTGATGCTTTTGAACTTTTGAGCGTAAAAATCATTGATCCTTCTTTTGTCTTACCACATGAAATTAAAAAACATTATTACTTGATCGCAACAATCCCAATCTTCAATACAATCTCTATTCTATCCCTTTATTTACCTTCCCGATTAAATCTGTGATTTTTTCTTTAATTATTTACTTTTTTCCGCCAATCAAATCTCCGTTTCATAATACATTCACATTATATTAATTCGCATTCTTTGATAATTTAATAATAAAGAGAGGAGGAGCAGTTGATTATGTAAATGCATCAACAACTTTGACAATCCCTTATAAACAAAATAATGTCAATCAAGAGACTTTTCATGACGACTGCTACTGTTACTGCTTCTGCTGTGTCGAACAATTTGCATCATAACATTATCACCGCTATTACTATTTTCTGAAATCGCGTCATCATTGCTGTACCGGGATCAGAGCGTTGTTCTCTATAAATTTCACTACACCATCATCATTATCACTATTATTATTACGATCACTATTGGACTTGAGAAGAATATTTGATGGATGTAAGTTTTTTTTTTTTTTTTTTTTTACATATCAATTTTTTACATATCGTATGGGACACGACATTTTCTTTATCATATTATTCATTTTTTACGTGATTGGATACAGTAATCTTGACAATAAATAATGAGGATAATGATAATAATAACTTAATTTTTATTATGATTTATCGTTGTTATTATTATCTCAATTACATTATGTGATGTCTTCAGTCATTTTATGTTAAAAAAAAAAAAGGTGATTTATTGATCAACTCCTCGAGAATAAGGTGAGTTTGCTTTTTATGTCTATTTCACATATGCGATCTATTCATTCAATCATGTTTTTCCTGAATTGACTTTCGTCTTTTACTGATAGATTATGATCTTACTTGATAGATTTTTATGAAATAGATATTTGTGAACATTCTCTTATCTATCTTCTAATAATTACTTTTTCTCTATTCCATTTCTTACTACTAAAACAAAAAAAAGCAAAGACTAAATAATCATCATCATCATCATCATCATCATCATCATCATCATCATCATCATCATCATCATCATCATCATCATCATCATCAT